TGATAGATAGACTGACTGTCTAGCTGAATTGATAGATAGACTGACTGTTTAGCTGAATTGATAGATAGACTGACTGTCTAGCTGAATTGAAAGATAGACTGACTGTCTAGTTGAATTGATAGATAGACTGACTGTTTAGCTGAATTGATAGATAGACTGACTGTCTAGCTGAATTGATAGATAGACTGACTGTCTAGCTGAATTGATAGATAGACTGACTGTTTAGCTGGATTGATAGACTGACTGTCTAGCTGAATTGATAGACTGACTGTCTAGCTGAATTGATAGATATACTGACTGTCTAGTTGGATTGATAGATATACTGACTGTCTAGTTGGATTGATAGATAGACTGACTGTCTAGTTGAATTGATAGATAGACTGACTGTCTAGTTGAATTGATAGATAGACTGACTGTCTAGTTGAATTTATAGACTGACTGTCTAGTTGAATTGATAGATAGACTGACTGTCTAGCAGAACTGATAGATTGTCTGACTGTCTAGCTGTATTGATAGATAGATGACTGTTTAGCTGGATTGATAGATAGACTGACTGTCTAGCTGAATTGATAGATAGACTGACTGTCTAGTTGAATTGATAGATAGACTGACTGTCTAGTTGAATTGATAGATAGACTGACTGTCTAGCTGAATTGATAGATAGACTGACTGTCTAGCTGAATTGATAGATAGACTGACTGTCTAGCTGAATTGATAGATAGACTGACTGTCTAGTTGAATTGATAGATAGACTGACTGTCTAGCTGAATTGATAGACAGACTGACTGTCTAGCTGAATTGATAGATAGACTGACTGTCTAGCTGAAATGATAGATAGACTGACTGTCTAGCACACACACACACACACACACACACACACACACACACACACACACACACACACACACACACACACACACACAGAGTAGTCAGGAAGTGGAATAGTTTGGGAAGCGATGTAGTGGAGGCAGGATCCATACATAGCTTTAAGCAGAGGTACGATAAAGCTCATGGTTCAGGGAGAGTGACCTAGTAGCGACCAGTGAAGAGGCGGGGCCAGGAGCTTGGACTCGACCCCTGCAACCTCCCTGAAAGCTGGCTGCCTTGGATCAAACGTGTAGCGCATGCTACACGCCAAGGTATTGGTCCAGTGTGGGTAGATTGGTAAAGCACTGCGTACCTTGTCCTAAGGTTCGTAGGTTCGAGTCTCCTTCAGCCAGAGATCAGTGTTTGTTATATTTCGCATGCTCTGCGGAATTCCTTGTATATATATATATATATATATATATATAATATATAATATATATATATATATATATATATAATATATATATAATATAATATATATATATATATATATATATATATATATATATATATATATATATATATATATATATATAATATATTGTCCAATAGAATTTCGCTTGGTAAGAGAACTTGCGATCTTGCTTAAGACAACGCTAATCTTTGTCCATAATTGGACAAATTAAATTTGAACTAACGAAAAAATATATTTACTGCCAAAATTATTCTGAACTAACGAAAAAAATATATTTCATGTGTTTGTTTTAAATTAAATTGTAAACAAATCTTAAAATAGTAAGTTGGTTCTAAAATATTGTGCTAGTTATAATAAGGTTAGTAAGTTTAATAAGATTATTTTGGTGCAAAATTAAAAATTTTAATTTAACATTAATGAAAAAATAATCTTTAAAATATAAGAGAAAATTTTATGAAAGAACTCAATTTATAAATGAGTTTTGCTAATGACCATTTTACATATCGGCACGACATTAATATATATATATTTTATATTATAATATAATTATAGGTATATTATAGTATATGAATATATAATAAATATAAAGGGGGCAATGTGGCAGATGTTGCAAGTGTATGGTGTAGAGGTAGGTATACTGAAAAGCGTGAAGATTTTTAGATATAGTTAGGAGGCCAAGTTTAATGAAAGATGGGATTTTTATCCCGAGGGAAAGTGTGCCTTACATAGGCATGTGATCAACGTGGTTGATTAATTTTATATATGGGGATTGTAAGAGAAGTAAATGCGATGGGTCTTGGAAGTAGGCGTGTTAAAAGATGAAAGGATCACACAATGGTAATTACAGCGCTCTTTGCTGATAGACACTTGCTCTTGGAGATTCTGAACGAGAAGTTGAGAATTGTGAATTTGTTGGGTGTGCAATGAAGAAAATTTAAAGATTGAATACAGGAAAGATAAGTTATGAGATAAAAATAAGAATTAGGTGATGAAAATTAAATCACAAATAGAGGGAGAAGAGTATGGAGGAGGTGAACGTAATTCAGATATTTAGGAGTGGAAGTAATTGGGATTTCTATGAAGATGAGGTGAATCCATAGAAGTTTGATGAGGGAAAAAGAGTGCTGTTGCACTTAGAGCTGTGGAGATCGAGAACCTTTGTCCTTGGAGGCAAAGAGGGAATGTATAGAGTTAAATTTCAACCACGACTTAATGGTGAAGCATTGGGTATATGTTGAAAAGGAAAGGCTGGAGGCTGTGGAATGACTGTTGGGGCAATGGGGTGAGATAAGGCAGAAGTCGAGTTTGGAAGTTAGAGGTGTCCGGATTTCAAATGTTGCCAAGAGATAGGAAGTGTTGAGGTGGTGGAATGTAATGAATGGACGAAACGAATAATCATAGTGTATCAGTCTGTAGTGAAGGAATGGGGTTAGGGTCGGCTAGGAAGGGTTTGGAGGACGGGGTAAAGGAGGTTGTGCGAGGGGTACTGGCTTCCATCAGCAACTGGCGTGTTTGATAGGAGTGAATGGAGAAAATGGTTTTAATACTTGACGTGATGTGAAGCTGTGAGCAAGTAAATTTATGAAGGGATTCAGTGGAAACCGGCAGTCGGACTTGAGTCCTGGAGATGGAAATACAACTACCTCTGAGGACGGTAAATTCTTGTATTAAAACTGCTGTTAAACCCTCTGAAGACAGTGATGGAGTGAATGATGTGAAAGTTTTTTTTTTTGGCTCCTTGCTTTGGGAAACGGCCTGTGTAAATGTAATAATAAATATATAATTATTATAATTAATATACTTAATATATATGATAATATATATAATGATATTGATGGTTGATTGGAATGTTATGAATATTTAAAGGTTGTTAAGTAATGACTGGTATTTAATAGTGTATTGTTTAAGATGAAATATACAAGATTTGACCGAATGTAAACAAAGGGAGGAGGTGGCTTAGAATTTTTGAAAACGTCTCGTTTAATAATATATATTAAGATGGCCTTTTTTAAGATACTGGTTTGTTAGGATAGAGGGAAGGTGGTGTGCTTCTGGTCATCTAAATAAGGACAGAGTAATTTGAGCTGACTTGTTAAATGTCGTCTAGAGGGTGTTTGTTGTGCTGATTTAGATTAACGAGAGGTTAGACTGACCTGTATGTAATTATCAGTCTTGTGTTTAAGATAACTTTGTAATTTTAAACTGACAGATATTTGAGTAAATTTGAATGTTTGTTTTAAGTTCGCGAAAATTTAAGCACTAACTGGATTTTAAAACGACTCGATTTTAAACTTAGAGAATATTGTTAAAAACTAACTGCATTAAAAGCGTCAAAGAAAGGTCTATATACCTAGTGTAGAAGAATAAAATAATTGGATATATCAGTGAGAGGTATATTCCTTTATGTTTAATACTGACCTATGCTAATTGACCTGGGTGATAAATTTGCATGCAGCTATGTTAGACTAGTCAGTCGATAGCTTCAAACTCCAACCCGAGAAGAAAAATTGTAATATTTTTTTTTTTATAAAGTATACACCCTGAAATGTGTTTTAAGATGTTGGCTGAGGGAAGCAGTACCAGGCCAGACATCAAGGAGGGAGGAGGTGTCGTGCCCCTCGTTAAGCTGGTAGATCATGTTTTTAAGTATCCGGGCCTGTTGTGGTGGGCTGGACCATGTTTGTTTACCTGTATCATTAAGACACCTGGTATTTTTAGACTGACCTATAAGTTTAATGACTTAAACAGTCTATACTTATGTAGGTTTGCATAAGAATGACTGTTTCAGTCCTACCTGGACCTGTTAAGATCACAATGGGAAGGAAGGAGGGTCTTAAAAGTGATGAGGACGGTGTCTAAAACACCTGGTACATAGTTTGTGACGGTGTTGCTGTTGCCAATACAGGTGTTAACCCTGAACCCTTGGTGAATTAAACCGTGCTGAATCTAAAACATTCCTTGTTGTGACCTAAAACTGACCTTGTTTGCTAAAATACCTACCTTAGGGTTTTTATCTTGCTGGATTTTTCTTATTTTTTCTTTGACTGTTTTAAAAACGACCTGTTATTGTCGCAGCGTACGGGATTTGTTTTTAAAACTCAACTTTCATGACTATGGACTGACGGTTTTTTAAGACTGAGCTGGTTTTTAAAATTGACCTGGTTTAAGAGACTGCTTTGTTTAAACTGACCTGGTAGTTTAGATGACCTGGGATTAAGGTGACCTGTCTGTAACTGAGACCTGTAGCTTAAATGACTGTGTGCTTAAGAGACCTGGTATGTTTAAACGTAGGGACCTTAAAATTGACCTGGTGTGTTTAGACTGACCTGTTTTTTAAGACTGCTGGTTTGTTAAGGCCGGTAGTTTAAGACGACCTGGTATTTTCAAGACGACCTGGTAGTTTAGATTGACCTGGTAAAGAGAGGATGAACCTAGTCTAAGGACATGACCTGGTATGCTTCAAGAATGACCTGGTCATTAAAATGCCTGGTGTCTTTACGAGAGCTAGTAACTTAAAACGACCTGTTGTTTAAGACTGACCTGGTTTGTTAAGACTGACCTGGTTTGTTAAAAACTGACATAGAAACCTAGGACTGTTGGTTTGTTTAAGGCTGCCTGGTTGTTTAAAACTGACTGTTTTTAAGGTATGACCTTGTGTTAACTAGGGGTATGCTAGACCTGGGATAAGGTGACCTCCTGGTCGGTCTACACTGAGACATTACAGGTGTTTTATCGTGTTTGGTGGCAAGGACCACTGCCTCGAACACAAGTAGGGACTCAGAGACCCCCGCGACGGGTGTCTCTGAGGCTGTTCAATGAGGTGGCGGCGGCAGAGAAGGGCACCAGGGCACAAAGCGCCGAAGATCTCCAAGAAATCCTTTCTGAGGATTCTTCCGCGTAAAGAAGGATTTGAACAAGCAGAGGACATGCCGGCCATGTGGCACACGGAGTACACAATTAACATGCTCTCCGTGTCCTCCCCGAAGGGGTTGTGAAGGTCGACGACGACGTTGTAGAGGTTAAGTGGCAGCCATGATAGGCAGAAGATGAGAGCAATAGAAACCAGAAGAGTGTTGGTCTTCCGCATCCTGAGGTCTTCTTTCTTGGAGCGAGCTGAACTACTACAAGCGTTGGTCATTCTGTATTTAAGCTTGTTGCAGATCCTGGCATAGGCTACGCTCACCGTCAGGATGGGGAGGCAGTACTGCACCACGATGACGAGGATGCTGTAGTAGGCGCGGCCGTGTGCCAAGGGCCAGTCCTCGAAACAATAAGTCACTACTTCGATCCCCGGCAGGTTGACGTGGTGATTCTCCAGCGTTCGCCAGATGAAGTTGGGCAGTGCTAGCAGGAAGGAGAGCAGCCACACCACCAGCAGGCTTCCTATAGCACCAACCTTCTGCAGGGACTTCTTCGTTGGATACACGATCACCTGCCGGACATCAACAACAGGTAAATCTTAGAGAAGGAATTTGTCTTATCAACAAGGCTTTTGAGGACTTTTAGCTAAAAAATTATGTATGCTACAAATTGCCTCAAACTGATCTGACACGTCGAAACATGAGGTCCTCTCTCTCTCTCTCTCTCTCTGTCTCTCTCTCTCTCTCTCTCTCTCTCTCTCTCTCTCCTCTCTCTTCTCTCTCTCTCTCTCTCTCTCCTCTCTTCTCTCCTCTCTTCCTCTCTCTCTTCTCTCTCTTCTCTCTCCTCCTGTCTCTCTCTCTCTGTCTCTCTCTCTGTTCTCTCTCTCTGTCTCTCTCTGTCTCTCCTCTCTGTCTCTCTCTCTCTCTCTCTCTCTCTCTCTCTCTCCTATCTCTCTGTCTCCTCTCCGTCTGTCTATCTTCCTCCTCTCCTCTCTCTCAGGCGATTATATCCTCGTGTTCTCCAGTCTCCCCCAGAATTAGATCTGAATCCTCCATTCCCTACATGAGCGCTGTGACTAATAACCTAACAGGGTTTAGTGCTCCCCCATGATTATAATAATAATCCCTCTCATTAGCATCAGCTCGAGGCAGGACTATAAAAAATTGATATCTGTTTCCTTGTCGTATTTAGCATTTTCTTTTTAATATAATCAAGACAGTCATTATATTCAGAGACAGAATTGTCAAATATAAAAATTGGAAACCTAAAGCTACAGTATTATTATTATTATTATTATTATTATTATTATTGTTATTATTATTATTATTATTATTATTATTATTATTATTATTATTATTATTATTTCGACCCAGGTCTACTCCCTACCTCAGTCAACCCATAAAAAACGACAAATGGTGTTCTTTCATATATAGTGTGCGAAATGAGTGGCGTCCAGGAAGTGTACCGATGTTGTCACTGGTGTTTGACCTCATAGTGACTTGGGGACGCAACTTTAAGACTTATTTTTGCATAGTTAATCCCGTGGCCTGCACTCTCTGCACTGGTTCACGATGGTCACTCACTGGTCCAGGATGGCCACTCACTGGTCCAGCATGGCCACTCACTGGTCCAGGATGGTCACTCACTGGTCCAGCATGGCCACTCACTGGTCCAGGATGGCCACTCACTGGTCTAGGATGGCCACTCTGGTCCAGCATGGCCACTCACTGGTCCATGATGGCCACTCATTGGTCCAGTATGGCCACTCACTGGTCCATGATGGCCACTCACGGTCAGGATGGCACTCATGGTCAGATGGCCACTCACTGGTCCATGATGCCATTGGCCAACATGCATCACTGGTCCATGATGGCCACTCACTGGTCCAGCATGGCAACTCACTGGTCCAGAAGGGCCACTCAAGTACATGTACAAGGTATAAAGGCCTAGCTGACATTAGTGACATACTACTATATAAAAAGCCGCTTGTTATGCAGAGCATTTCCCACAAATTAGGTCAATTTTATCCCAGGATGCGACCAACATCAGTCGACTAACGCCCAGCTTCCTATTTTACTGCTAGGTGAACAGAGACAGCAGGTATCTTAAAGAAACACATCGTAATATTTTCACCCGTATGGCGGGATCGAACAACGGACATCAGTGTGTGAGCTGAGTGCCAGTGAGGGCCATTCACTGGTTCACAAGACCTACACACTGAAAATGGTCCACTAGGCTCGGGGAAGATCTTCACAAGCCTTAAACACCCACCTCAAACAAACCCAGGTTCTAAGCTACACGGAACCTGTGTAGTCTGTCTTTTTCATCAGTGGAAGACCAGTCCTTATAATCTCAACATCAGAGCTTTAAGACCAGCTGCCAATGTTGATGGGTAAGACCAGCTGCCAATGTTGATGGGTAAGACCAGCTGCCAATGTTGATGGGTAAGACCAGCTGCCAATGTTGATGGGTAAGACCAGCTGCCAATGTTGATGGGTAAGACCAGCTGCCAATGTTGATGGGTAAGACCAGCTGCAATGTTGATGGTAAGACCAGCTGCCAATGTTGATGGGTAAGACCAGCTGCCAATGTTGATGGGTAAGACCAGCTGCCAATGTTGATGGGTAAGACCAGCTGTCAATGTTGATGGGTAAGACCAGCTGTCAATGTTGATGGGTAAGACCAGCTGCCAATGTTGATGGGTAAGACCAGCTGCCAATGTTGATGGGTAAGACCAGCTGCCAATGTTGATGGGTAAGACCAGCTGCCAATGTTGATGGGTAAGACCAGCTGCCAATGTTGATGGGTAAGACCAGCTGCCAATGTTGATGGGTAAGACCAGCTGCCAAGTTTGATGGTAAGACGCATATTTGATGGTAAACAGGCAGTGATGGGTAAGACTGCCAGTTGATGGGTAAGACATATGTACAACAGTTGGGTATGTTTACCGTTGAAACGTTTCGCCTACCCAGTAGGATTCTTCAGTCAAATACAGAGGCAGCAGGTGTTGTAGTGAAGTGAAGATGATGTAGCCAGTCCATGGTGTTAGTCTCCTAATACCTGTTACTCCTGTTTCCCTGTTCATTCAGCAGTAAACAGGCACCAGTGTGTCAATTGACTGTTGTGGGTATCTTCCTGGGAGATAAGCCTCAGAGTTGGCTTGGCTTATCCTGGGTTACCCTTCATGGTTAATAATCTTTTTAATATCTAGGATCATTAACCCTCATTGTGTAATATTACGTTAACCTTCCTGGGTTAATAATCATGCTCTCTCCTGGGTTATTAACCCAGAGAGTTAATAACCCAGGTATATTAACCCCTGTTGGGCCAATAACTCCGAGTGAACGACCTCTGAGGTTGCTTGGAAGGTTGTGTTTTGACAAGTGATTATACTGGGGTGTCCGAGAGGCTTCGTGGGCCCCTTGTGTCCATGAGAGAGCCTTCCTGGGCCCCTTGTTTTCTATGAGAGAGCCTTCCTGGGCCCCTTGTTTTCATAAGGAAGGTTTCCTGGGGCCCCTTGTGTCCATGAGAGAGGCTTCTTGGGGCCCCTTGCGTTCATAAGAGAGGCTTCCTGGGCCCCTTGTGTTCATAAGAGCGGCTTCCTGGGTCCCTTGTTTTCATAAGAGGCTTCCTGGGCGCCTTGTGTTCATAAGAGGCTTCCTGGGCGCCTTGTGTTCATAAGGGAGGCTTCCTGGGGCCCTTGTGTTCATGAGAGGCTTCCCGTGTGTTGCCTGGGTAAGTGGATGCTCAAAAGACCACTTTGAAAAAGGAGCAACACCTCCTCGGGTCCCCTTTGATGACCAGACTGAAAATGTTGAAGCTCTAGATCAGGTTGTTGATGGTGGGTAAAGTGATGTGATGATGGAGAGGTGAGGGAGGAGGAGGGAGGGATTGATGGAGAGAGGGAGGGAGGGAGGGAGGGAGGGAGAGAGAGAGTTTTGGAGGCTTGATCATCCTTTCGCTGAACCCGAGTCACAGACCTTTCTGGTTATCTTGATAGTGTGTATGTGTGTATGTGTCTGTATGTATGTGTATGTATGTGCATGTGTACGTGTGCATGTGTGTGTATGTATGTGTGTATGTATGTGCATGTGTACGTGTGTATGTGTACATGTGTGTACGTGTGTGTGTGTATGTGCATGTGTACATGTGTATGCGTGTGTGTATGTGTACATGTGTGTGTACTCACCTATTTGTGGTTCCAAGGGTTGAGTCATAGCTCCTTGCATGTGTATTTTTTGTACATATGTGTGTGTGTACGTATGTGTGTGCTTTTGTACATTGTGTGTGTATGCATGTGTACACGTGTGTGTGTATTCGCCTATTTGTGGTTGCAGGGGTCGAATCATAGCTCCTGTCCCCGCCTCTTCGCTGGTATGTGTATGTGTGTGCTTTTATACATTGTGTGTGTACATATGTGCACGTGTGTGTGTGCATGTGTACACGTGTGTGTGCATGTGTACACGTGTGTGTGCACATGTGTACACGTGTGTGTGTGCATGTGTACACGTGTGTGCATGTGTACACGTGTGTGCACATGTGTACACGTGTGTGTGCACATGTGTACACGTGTGTGTGCACGTGTACACGTGTGTGTGCACATGTGTACACGTGTGTGCACATGTGTACACGTGTGTGTGCACATGTGTACACGTGTGTGTGCACATGTGTACACGTGTGTGTGCACATGTGTACACGTGTGTGTGCACATGTGTACACGTGTGTGTGCACATGTGTACACGTGTGTGTGCACATGTGTACACGTGTGTGTGCACATGTGTACACGTGTGTGTGCACATGGTCAGCTTAACCATAACTAACCTCAACTTTGATGTAAATTCTTATAATAAAATTAAGTTGTTCTTTGATGTTCATTTTTCTAATTTTTTTTTCTTATTATTGGTAATATTACTGAGATGAGTTGCTGTTGACTTTGATGCTGCTGCTGCAATGCTTAAAATACACCTTATGTACCAGGGATATAAGAGCCATTTCCTTGTTTGCAGCATCTCATCTACTGTTTCACTGGTAACATGGACCTTATGAAGCAGTGCAGTAAGGTTCATTCTAATCTAAAACAAAAAAATTGTTTTTTTTTTTGTATTAATAATTTTTGGAGTCGATCTCAAAGCGTCATAAAATTACTTTAAATGGCTTATACAATTTTTTTTTCAGTTTGAGTAAATTGCGTTTACATTTGTCCTGGATTTGAAGCACCAAACCCGTGAGGAAGCGCGAAGCCCATAAGAGATAATGCAGCACCGGGAGAATGGGAGGCAGAAGGGTTGAATGCAAGGAAGAGGAGGAGGAGGAGGAGGAGGGTGGATAGGTCTAATTCATTAGATCAAGAGCCTTTTAGCCTCAGGAAGGGTCTTTGAGAGTGAACACTTTCACCTCAGCCACTTTCTCTATGTAACACACATTGTAACTTTACTATGGGGGTCTGGCAGGTTGAGGGGGGAAGAGCTGAAGTCGTAGGGAAAGCATTTTAAAAGTGGGGAAAGCATTTAGTCGTGAGGAAAGCATCTAGAAAGTCGGGGAAAGTATCTAGTAAGTAGTGAGGAAAGCATTTAGAAAGTCGTGAGGAAAGCATTTAG